CCCTTGTCCCCAGTCCCTCTCCAGCTCTCCTGGATCCCTTCAGGCCCCAAAAGGGGCTCTGAGCTGTCCCTGGACCCTTCCCTTCTCCAGGTGAGCCCCCCCAGCTCTCCCAGCCCGGCTCCAGAGGCTCCATCCCTTGGAGCAGCTCCGGGTTCTGCTCTGGGCTCTCTCAGCAGCTCCAGCTCCTTCTGCTGGGGCAGCTCTGACAGTGGGGGCACAGGGGTAAAATCCCAATCCCTTCCCTGTGTCCAGGCTGTGGGATCAGCCCAGGATCCCAATCCCCCCTGCCCAGGCTGTGGGATCAGCCCAGGATCCCAATCCCTTTCCCCTGCCCAGGCTGTGGGACCAGCCCAGGATCCCAATCCCTTCCCCAGGATCCCAATCCCTTCCCCAGCATCCCAATCCCTTCCCTGTGCCCAGGCTGTAGGATCAGCCCGGGATCCCAATCCCTTCCCCAGGATCCCAATCCCTTCCCTGTGCTCAGGCTGTAGGATCAGCCCAGGATCCCAATCCCTTCCCCAGGATCCCAATCCCTTCCCCAGGATCCCAATCCCTTCCCTGTGCCCAGGCTGTAGGATCAGCCCGGGATCTGCTCCATCCCCTCCCTGCCCCTCTCCTGCCCTGCCCCGTTCCCTGGCTGAGCTGGGGACAGCTTTCCTTGGTGCCAGTGACAGTTTTCCTGGATGGATTGGATGAAATGCGCCCTGTTTGGATGCTTTCAGAGGATGTGGAACACATCTGAGAATTCCAGGGGGGAAAAACAGGGGAAGCAGCATCTGAACCAAAATGTTGCCAGCAAGACTCGGGGGCAGAGACAATACTTGCTGAAGTCTCTCTAGTGCCTTTTTATGGCAGACATGACAGCCAATCCTGATCCAGACTTTGCTCACGCTCTGTAGAAAAGAGAAAGTCTGATCATCACATTTTCCAATGGAAGCCCAAGTGGCCTCCGAGGAGCGCAGCGCTGGACCCGTTCCCCCGCCACCATCGYGTCATGTCCAAACTCTCCACGTGACCATGATGCACAGACAATCACACCACAAGTTTGCACATGGAAGGAAACATTTGTGTCGCCTTACAAATGTTTTTTTGTTTTTTTTGCTGATTTTTTCCCCTTTTTTTTTCTTTTTTTCTCTTTTTCTCCCGTTTGGTTTTGAATCTCGGGCAAAGACAAGCAGAGTCTGGTTGGGGCTGACTGTCATGTACCCAAGGTAGTGGTAACGAGCAGACACTGCATCCCACAGTTTGCTGTGGATGATGGTAAACTCCAGAAGAGGCAGGACATGGGGACACAGAATCCTGGGCACTGTCACACACAGGGAAATACACACACCTGCCTGATACTGTAAAACCTCAGCCTGTGTTTCACTGAGAAATCGGAAATGAAAAAAAGCTCCAAAGCAAAGCAGGAATGCTCTTCTTTCATCCAAACTCCTTCAAAGCAATTTCTGTGGGGAGGGTCTATGTGCTCTCAATAATGCACCACTAAAAGCAAGTGCATCGTGGGTCAATGCAAACTTTACTCTCTACCGTATCTAGGGAAAAAATCCTTTTTTTTTTTAAATTTTTTTTTATTTATTTATTTATTTTTTTTTTTTATTGCTACTCCTGTCTGTTAAGGAGGAAAGAATAAACTGTACCTGTACGAATGCAGAGGTGGTTTTACATTCCTTACTTTAATGTTTAGGAATTTAATGCTGGGCTTTCCTCTGGATTGCCTTTTTGGTTGTCGTGGGGTGGGGTCCTTTCTGTTCAGCTTTGATTCAACTTGAAATGTTTGCCAGAAAGTTTTTTCTCTCTTTTCAGCGGACCCCACTTTTGGGGGAAAGGGATTTAATTGGAAACCTTAGAACATGAACRCCATAAACAAATGTGTTTAGAACATGGATCTATTTCAGTTCCCACACGGAGTAAACTTCACTGCCCCTCCTTGGCATCGGAATAAAGGGCAGCTCTTTCCAAAATCAGCAGCAACAGGGGTTTGTGACTGGGGTAAGTTAAGGCTCCTAGGGTTGGATGCTTTTACACAAGGATGGGACTCAAACCTGCAGAAAAGCCATAGAGAACAAGGGTTGGGTTTGGTTTTAAACAACGTGTTTGACAACGCCTGCAAACTGAGCAACCCTTCAGCAGAAAGAGCAGCTCTCCTGGTTTGGCAGCGGGGCAGCCCTTCTAGGGCAGTGTGTGCTGGGATGGAGCCCAACATCCTCTGTGCCAAACCTTTTATACCACAAATTCATCTYCAGCACGAAGCACTTATATCCCTGCGGCAATAATTCACATTTCAGCTGCAGGGCTCTGCCTGCTCCCCTTGCTGCTGCTCTGGCTTTGCCCAGGTTCTCTGGGTGCTTTTCCTCCCTTGTGGCGCTCTGAGGAGCCAGATCAGGTTTTACAGTACACGCTGCGTTTACAGAGGGTGGAGTTTACCAGCACAGAAGCCCTTGAGCAGACTGTGGGACGTGTGCGACAACGAAGTGTAACCGGTGTACCTTGCTGCATGAGAGCTCCAACTCCAAACCAGAAACTATTTAGTAAAGTAAAATTGTTTTCCACCACATCTGAGTCTGGGTTGCACGGGTGGGGGTTATACCACTCGTATGGTGTAAACCTGTGGCAGTCAACAGAAACAGTCTGTAAACAGCGAGCAGAGGAGCGAACCGGCTGAGCGGCGCG